AAATAGTGTTGCAAAATGATCTTTTTTCCAGTGAAAAAATTACGCATATGTTTTGAAAAGTATTAACAAATTGAGATTTTTGGGAGATAAATTGATCATTAAAGAAGTATTTAACATTTTCCACATTGATAACTTTCTCAAACAGTTTGCCCATTCACTCTAGTCACATTGTATTCTTGAATAGATATTGGTGCCTAGGAAAAACTTAAATTTGACTCTAATTTAGGAATCAGGAATGATTGAAATGTTCTAAAAATAACTTCTCAATTAGAATACCCATGACACATTTCTGAAACTTTGATCTGCATTAGATATTTTCTGTGACTCAAATAAATTGACATGAATGAGACAGGCATCTGAGAAAGTTGGATTTAAAGATGAACATGGCTAGTATCTAGTCACAAATAAAAAAAATTTCAAAGTTAAAGGTTTAATCAAACAACAAATAATAATCAGGATACACAAACTTAGTTCTATGAGAGCAATGACTTAGCGATTTCCATTTTGCATTGATACTTTGGTAGCCATTTTGGATTTGAAAATGAACCAAATGGTACAAGGGAGGTTAAAAAACTAGTTTGTGTAACCTAATTTTTGTTTTTTTTTGAAAACTATAACAGTCAATCGCAAAGAATAATTAATAGCATAGTTTCAGATAGTTCCCATTCCAAAAGTGTGTTAAGGGAAGTAAGCTATAACTATGAGAACAGACTTGTAATTCGGCTAAAATTTGTTGCTCAACTTGCTTATAATTCTGTGGAAAAAAAGCAAATATTTGATTGGTTGTCATGCTGGCCAATATTACCATCTTGTATGCATTTTCTCCTTATAGCATGCAAATGAAGACGTGGAGAGGATGTTACTAGGCAACAAATGTGATATGGAGGATAAAAGAATGATTCCTAAAGAAAGAGGAGAGTCTGTAAGTAACCATGGTAACACAAGCATCAATATGTGCACATGTCTCGGGTGTTGGAATTAGAAATTAAAGTTTCAAGTCCAATGGTCTGGTTGGAAATAAAAATACCTCTCTCTATTGTTGATATAATTGTCCCGAGCAAGGTTATTACAACATTATTTGAAATAAAATTTGCCATTCTTGGTTCATCATCTTTTTATAAGTCTTAAAACTCTGAAGGCAGTTTTCCGAACTTTTGAACTGCCAAATATTAGTCAGTTAGTAAAACTTAATATCTTTATTCACCTGTTCACAGTGACAGGCAATTTGTACATTTACATGTCCCAGCTGAAATCTACCTCTACGAGACATGTTTATAGATCTTGATTTTGACTTCTTGCCATTTAAATATTAACCAAATTTCAACACTACATTAATATTTTGTATTTCTTAATTGATGGCATATTGAAACACCCTAAATTTTGGCTTTATAATGCTGTCTGAATTAGAACTGTGCTTGATATGGACAATTGACATAGAAATGAATATACATGTGTTATGTGTGAAAAGTTTAATTATTGATATTTATGTTAATAGATGCATCATCATATAGTATTTGCATGCAGGCTTGCATAATATGCCTATAAACCTTGTTACTTTAAACCAAAATCATTAAAATGCTTCCTATTTTTTTACCATATATTTAAGTAAGCATATGCACTACTATTAGAGCAAATATGGTATAGACTAATGTGAGCTTACTGCGTCAAATTAGATTTATTGCAAGGTGACAGTAACACAACCATCTGAATACATTGTCAAGTTCTTCAAGGAAATAGAATTTGTAGTTCATCCACTTCTACAGCAAATTCTGTTATGTTTCAGAGCGGGTAACCTAGCAACCAAAAGTAAATAGAGCTTCTACAATGCCATTAGTTCAAAGATAACAAGTTCTGTTTTATAATGAGTATTAAACTAATATTAACATGGACAGCCAGCAGGTGTGATTATTATTAGTGGTATGGCTATTGATCAAGTAATTTACATAATTGTAAAAGTACTAATTTCAATCCAAGTTTGATACATATGTATGTAGTTG